AACAAGAACAACAACAACAACAAGAACAAGAAGAAGAACAAGAACAACAACAACAACAACAACAACAACAAGAACAACAACAAGAACAAGAACAACAACAACAAGAACAAGAACAACAACAACAACAACAAAATGAGTGTAATACACACATACACATCGGATGAGAAAGGGGTTCAAAAATATTGTGTTTCAATAAGTTTAAGGATTCAGCTGGCAAAGTCGTATGTACAAGGGTCCAACTTACAAACGGAGTCAAGTACAATGACTTCCCAGGTCATTCCGCCATAAATTAATAATAACTCTTAATTTTTGGTATTTTCTTTACTTTTAAAATATAAAGCTGACACAAAATCTTTACAATACAAACTAGAATCCAAAATTTCTAATTTATGAATTCTGAATCATAATTTTTTTGTCTATTGAATTTGAATAAATCATTTATACATATAAAATTAACTTGAGCCAAACCTATTGAATTATGTTGAACCCATAGTGATTATCATGTACTATGAAAAATGCGCCTGATACCTATGCTATTTAGCCATGGTTTCAATAACTAGGGAAAAATTAACCAAAAATAATAATATAATGAGCTCAACATTCTTAACAATCAGACATTCATTATGAACATTCAAAGTAGTCAATCTATCTCCGCCTGGTTCCTATGACTTCGCCTTCAGAAGCTGAGCATTTAGGCGAGCAATTTCTACATCTCTGTTTGCAAGTGTTACTTTCATTTCTTCCAATTCATGCTTCATTTGCTCATGTTTCACCTGCAACTCAGACACCTTGATCTTGTTCCCTGTCTTTCCCTCAACACACTTACACTTAAGTAGTGTGTTCATCAAATGAAATGATACCTTCACCTTCATTCTTCTGAGATCCTAATGCTAATTCCAGGCTTTTCACTACTTTATATATTGCAAGCCGTTCTTGTGGACGACCATAGAAGCATTTAGCAGAAATTCCTATAAATACCTTTAGACAAGTTGATGAGATAGACCCCACCAGATTCTGATCAATAAGCTTATTAATTTTGCCTTCCTTGATGCATTATTTGGCCCATGCTACAAGTCCATGTTGTTCCTCAGGCAGTCTCATATCGACTACCCGCCTTCCTAAGAGCAATTCAAATAGTACTACTCCAAAAGCATACACATCAGTTTTCCATGTCAATTTATTAGTCAGGAAGTACTCAGGATCGAGGTACCCAAATGTGCCTTTGACTTGTGTACATATAACATGAGTAGTTGATTCATTTCCAGGCCCCATGTTGGACAACCCAAAATCTGAATTCTTACTTGCCCAGTTTTCATCTAACATAATGTTTGAGCTTTTGATATCACGATGTATCACCCTATTTCGAGATGTATGAAGAAAATCCAGTCCACGTGTAGCACCTATAGCAATCTCGATCCTCCGTTCCCAAGTGAGAGATGAGCTAATTCTGTCCATTTTGAAGAGATGACCAGTAAGGGATCCTCGAAGCATATAATCATAAACTAATACCATCTCATGACCTTCATTGCAGTAACCAATTAGGGATAGAAGGTTCTCATGGCAGTGCGTAGATAACATTTTGATTTCCATCTAAAACTCATTCTCCCTGGCTAGATCCTGGTTTCGATCGCTTAACTGCTATAATGGTCTCTCCACCATCAATATCCCCTTTGTATATTGTGCCATATCCACCGCTACCAATGACAAGATGAGGATCTGTTAGTGAAAAACTACAAAATAACAGAATTACAAGATTACAATTGAAAATAAAATGAAAAAATAAAATCTCTTCAGGCTGAGGCGCAAATATCTCGCTCTTTTTAAGGAGATTCAAGCCCACTGCAACAAATGGTTTTCACCGATCCAGCAGTAGTCCTTCTTGACTTGTCCCCTTCAGGATACAACAACCTAATCACAAAATATAACTCAACACCTCTGGACAAGAGTTGAGTCCAAACCTCCACAAAAATAACACTTCCCTTCAACTAATAAGAACTCTTTTTTTTGACTAACTTTTTCACTCTATATTTTTCTTGTGTCTAATCCAAATGAAGACCACCACTATTTATACTAGAAAAAGTCTTTCTAGCAATGAATAAGAAGATAATGGTGTAGTAAATAGTGAAGGTGTTGAATGAGGTTTAAAGCCAACACATTATAGCCTTGTGCTATCGGTTTCATGAGTGCTTTGGAGAATAAGCCAATTCTCATAGGAAGCGACCTACTTCCACACTCACATAGGTGAAATCTGTCGATAGTGCTCCTGGAAGTTTAACACACCACTCATACGGGATACAAATAATCATTAATAATTTTATCAACTCAACCTTCACAAATTACTACAGAAAACAATGCACTTACATCATAGGGAGAGAATAAAAAAAATAGTGCATTTTTTTTCACAACAAGTCATCATAAGATTAGTTTTTCCCTTTGAACCTGATTATATGATCTCTAGTCCCCAAGTTGGGTTTCCTTATATATGACTCAAGGATTTATAGGCTTCAATCCCATCCCCCTCGATGTGCTCCAAACCTTTTCTTTTGTTAAGGCCTTAGTTAGAGGATCTGCAAAATTATCACAAGATTTGACATAATCAACATTAATGGTATCATTTGTCAAATACGATCTTACATTACTGTGTTTCCTCCTTATAGATCTGGATTTACCGTTGTAATAATGGTTTTGAACTCTACCAATCGCAGCGATGCTATCACAATGAATTAAAATAAGAGGAATTGGTTTTTCAAATAATAAATCTCTCAACCAATTCGCTTCCTCACTAGCTGAAGCTAAAGTAATTAGTTCAGCCTCCATGGTAGAGTTAACAATTATAGTTTACTTTTTTGATCTCCAACAAATAGCACGACCACCCAAAGTAAAGATATAACCAGTGGTAGAACATGAATCACCTAATAAGGTGTTGCAATCTGCATCAGTAAAGCCTTCAAGTACAGTAGGATATTTTTTTTATAGAATAAACCACAATTTTTTGTTCCAATTAAATATCTCATAACTCTAGTTATAGTATGTCAATGTTCATTACCTGGCTTGCTTGTAAACCTGCCAAGTACGCCTACTGCATATGCAATATCAAGCCTAGTGCAATCAGTCACATATCTCAAACTTTCGATTATGCTAGTATATTCCTTTTGATTTATTACATCATTTTCACTTTCAACAGGAAATAAGTTAACACTTGAATCAAAATGAGTATCAACATGCTTGCAATCATGAAAGTTATATTTTTTCAAATTTTTCTCAACATAATGTGACTGATCAATGAAAATTCCATCACATGTTCTTGTTATTTTTATTCCAAGAATAAAATTTGTCTCACCAAGATCTTTCATATCAAAATGGCTTCTAAGAATATTTTTAGTTTCATCAATCACATTCATGTTAGAGCCAAAGATCAAGAAATCATCAACATATAGGCAAATAATCATATGTGAATCATTCCAAGACTTATGATATATGCACTTATCACACTCATTTGTTTTAAAACTATTTTCAATCATGCAGAAATCAAACTTTTCATGCCATTTCTTTGGTGCCTGTTTCAAGTCATATAGGGATTTAGAAAGTTTACATACTTTGCTTTCTTGGCCTGCTTCAACAAAATACTCGGGTTGATCCATATAAATTTCCTCATTTAGGTCTCCATTTAAAAGAGCAGTTTTTACATCCATTTGGTGAATTTGTAAATCAAAATTTGCAGCCATAACAATTAAAAGTCTTATGGATGTAGTTCTTGTTACCGGAGAAAAAGTATCAAAAATTTCTAGGCCTTCTAGTTGCTTAGAACATTTTGCAACTAGTCACGCTTTATATTTATCAATAGATCCATCCGGTTTCAATTTTTTTTGTAAGATCCATTTGTAACCAATAGTTTTACAACCCAATGGTAAATCAACTGTCACTCCCCGAGCCTACACCCTGGGCGGGACTATCACTCGAGAACCATTGCTGGCCCCAAGCGAACCCTTGGACTGGCTAGACTCTCAGCGGAAGACTTACTCATAGAAAATGTACTTAAATACAATCTTAAATAAACTGTCTGAATAGATAAACTGAGAATGTTTAGAAATAACATTCAACTTAGCCAAAATGGAAACTCAAGTCTTTAAATCAAACAATTTAAATATCAAGACTACATAACTCATATCTAACTGTCTATGAAGCCTCTAGATACTAAGAGGAATGTTGGGACAAGACCCCTGATTATCCTAACAACTGAAATAACCAAAAGCAATAAAACAAAACATAACCAAAGGGATCCTACGGAAAGCAAAAAGGCTCACCAACTGACTCTGATTTCTCGACTGGATCAACGAGGTGTTGGATGCTGATCCTGATTACCTGTATCTGCATCATAAAATGATGCAGGCCAAATGACATCAGTACATTGAATGTACGAGCATGCGAGGGGAATACTAAAACAAGACATAAACTTGAAATGGGAACTGAAAGAACAAACCTGGTCTCAACTCATCTCAACTGAACTCAGTTCAATATAAAGCATTATAATAAATGCAGTATAAACAAAAGCTTTGAAACTTGGATAACAACTTTGTGTATTTAGAAATACAATAGTAACTCTTTGTGTATGCAAGGATACAATGAAAACTCTGAATGTATATGAAAATACAATTAACTCTGTGTATATAAGAATACAAAATACTTCTGTGGGAGTTTCTCTAATCGACAACCATCACTTAAGAGATATGTGATGATACAACGTTTAGCCTCACGCTGCCAGGGTCGTCCTATACCTTGCCAGGCGTATAGAACCTGACTACTAAGTGGATCTACTAGTCTATGCTAAAAAGAACTAAGGAATCATCTAAAAAGTATGACCCTTTTCTACCCATGATGGCTACATGGTTTATGAGGGCTGGGAGTTGTCTAAACTCTCCTCCATATCGGTGCTCAATACTACTCCTAAAATATAATACTAGCTCTTATGTTTAAAAACATAACTTCTTTCTCTGGTTTGAGATAATTGCTCAAAACTTTGCTCAAAGGTTATCTTGGAAATCAAAGTTCCCTCTCTTTTTTAATTGATAAAGCATTTACTCTTTACTGAAAACTAGCTCAAAGGCTCCTTTGGAAATCTCAGTTTTCTTTCTTGTCTAAATGTGAAATTTTTTTACTCTTTGGGAATACATAGTCCCGATATACTCTTTTGAAGAAATGAACTTCAATCTTTACTCTTTACTCAACTCAAAACAGTCTTAAAACAAAGTTAAAACATTTATAAAAGACTTTTGGAAGACTCTATGAACTTCTCTTTACTTGGCTCTTAACTTTCCTTAAATTTGAATTTATGGATTGTGATTTGTGATAGGAAAGACCTCATGATGTTTAGGAGTGTTTTTAGATAGTTAAACATGAGAAACGATCAATGAATCACTGTCTGGAAGAAAGTCCGCGACGCGGAAATGCTTTTAAATATTTTGTTGCGAGATAAATTTCGAGGCAGAAGGGTCCGTGACTGCTCCGCGATGAGGAGAGAAAATTTCCTATCCTGAGGAATAGGTCCGCGTCGCGGACCTGGTACCCAGATTCGCCAGAGTTTTTCCTTCTTCGTTTTCTAACCCCAAATTCGCCTAAACTCGGTTCTTTTTCTAAAATTCTCTTTAGATTCAGATACCCAGTATATATGCACAAGAATCTAACTCAAACAACTCAAGGAAACAACACTATAACCTCAAGAAACTTCTCAATCTCAACCCAAAATCAAGAACGAGAGCAATTCAAGAACACACATCAAGAACATTCATCTTCCAATCTTCTTAGAATGACTTCACATTGAAATAAACATGTTTGGCATGTGGGTGAATGAACCCTACGTTATGAAAGTCTCACATACCTCGTAGGATTGAATCCTTAGAGAAATCCACAACCAAAATCGCAAGAACTTGACGAATCTTGAACTTTTCTTCTCCTTTCTCCTCTTGAGTTCTTTCTCCAAAAACCCTAGCGTGTTTTGGTAAATGCGTAAACTGAACTAACTATGTTTAGACCCCAATTAAACTTCTAAAAACGAAATAAATTAATTGGGTATGAAAAAGACCATAATACCCTTCCAAAATCCGGTTTAGAGTTTTCTTATCTTGATAGCCCGACTTCCATAGGCATATCTCACTCATACGAACTCGAAATTGAGAAAATTCGGCGGCGTTAGAAAGATAATTCATAGATATTTCCTACGGTATCTTGTACAACACCTAAATCATCATGAGCTAGGATTTATGGTCGTTTGAAGTTGACCCAAAACTCATACTTAACTTAACTTTGTCAAATTTTCCAAATTTGATTATTTTTCAAAAAATGGTTTCTTTCTAATTCTAAGTCTTTCTAGTAGCGGGGTGTTACAATATCTCCCCCTTGGGAACATTCGTCCTCAAATGAGATTACTCTTAGTAGGCTAAGGCGTAATATCTAACACCTAGCTCAAACACCCAACAAGAAAAAAATACAATTACAACATGCCATCTTAAAATAAAAGCCAAGAAAAGGATTAGTACCTTAATTTGGAACTTCTCCGGATTCGAAGAGATGTGGGTATCTAT